TGAGGGTCACCCAGGGAGGTACCACCACCATAAGCATTTCAGCAGAGTCTTATACATCTGAGACCTGTGTACATCCATGACAACTTTTTGTTAGGAAACAGAGGCCTTTTATTAATAGCTATAAAATACTGTATCTTCCAAGCTGTATTTTAAGGCCAAGCTTGCAGTGGGGTCTATTAACGTGCTGTTTTCACCTCTACTCCACCCTGTCTCTTCCCCACCTCTAGTTCCCCTTCCATCACTGACCATAGGAGGGGAATCTTGGAATCTTGCTTTCGAGAACCATGCCTAGAGGCCAAGTGAATGAGTGTGGCTTGAAGCTAACAGCTTCGTGGTTTGCCTTAGAAGTTCTCTGTTCCTCTCAGCTTATTTAATGTAATGTAATATCACTCCATAATATTCACAGGATGCTTGACATTAGAAAGGGCTTTTAAATCCTCTGAAATAGGATTTTGAATTTAACAGCACCTTGGAGTGTGTAAATGGAACATTAACTGTCCTGTGTTCTAAGAGGGAGACTGCTTCAGGAAATTCAATGACTGCACCTTGCAGGGTGGCATCTCTGGAGGTGGCCTGCCACCCCAGCCCCATCCCTCCTTCAGTGAGTCCAAGGTTGGCCCCTAATTCTTTCTTCCTGGTTATTTCCAGCTTCTTTTTCCTAGGCTGGCTTTGGTAGGGATTCCTCTCTGCCCATTCCCTCATTGTCCCTTTCTCCAGGGTCCATCCATGACTTTTTCTAAGGGTTTTAGCACAAATCATCTAGGAAATTAGTCATCTGGCAAAGATAACAAGCATGAGAAGCTTCCAGGGGCCCCAACCTGTCCCAGCTGGTCCTGTTCTCAAGACCCTTCTTGTGTGAGTCTTCGTGGTTCCATCATGTGACCCAGAGGTGAGTCTAGGCTTTTTCTAAAACCTGTTTCATGGGATTCCAATTGCAGGAGCAGTTTCTCAGAGACATGGTTTCATGGACAGAAGGACTGGGAAATGCTTCTTGTAACCTCTCCCTGTTGGAGGCATCCAGCGTGTGGAAGCAGACAACATTTTTGAGAAGTCCAGCTGTCCAGGGTCCTGTGGAACTCTGTGTAATCCCAAAACCTGTTTTGAGCACCAAAGACATGTCTTACAGTCCACCTACGAGGCACTAGTTAGAGGTGTCTCTGTGAGTTGGTTCTGGAAGCGTCTGAGCTTTTTTCACAAGGGTTCCTTTTGGCCCTAGGATGGAGACCATAGAGATCCTCTACTGCCTCCCTCAGGAAAAACCAAATTAGGTTATTCTCTGAGAACCTCCAGGAGGTTTTTTTCATATACACCAGAGCATTGTCAGCTGCCTGTGTTTTCTTTGGAAGTAAATAGAAATGAATCAAGGGGGGGCCCATTTATGGTCTGAACATTGCATTCTTGGGGTCTGGTCAAAGGCAGACGTCAGGCCAAGCTGAGCCATTCTTAGAGAAAAGAATGGCACTAGGGTTTTCTGTATTTGGGAAGCAAGCCTTTTCTTACCCAGCCAGCTGTCACACCCTCAGATTTCTCCTCCAAATATTCCTACACATGCATAGAGTTACATTAATAACACATACCTCTGCTCTTCAAAGTGGAGGCTTTTTCTGTTAGCTTGGTGAACTTAGTGAACTTTATTTTTAATTACTTTCTTTTTAGTTAACTAATCTGGACTTTTTCATTGATTAGTTGCCTTTTCCTATTTCACATTTCTTTCTACTCTGGAGAATTCCATCAGTCATTTCACAGATGAACCACGGGTTCTGTTTGTTCACGTGGGGGTCTAAGGCCACAAACTGCTGTGAGGAAGGTGGTCCTAGTTGTCTGGGCTTCCAGGGCTGCAATCATCAAGTACCACTTGCCAAGTGGCTTAAACAGAAATGTATTGTCTCAAAGTTCTAGAGGCTTGAGGTCACCAAGGCAAAGGTGTTGGCAGCGCTGGTTCCTTCAAGGGCTGTCCAGGTCTTTGCAGATTTGTGCCGGGCCTCACCCCCAGCTTCCAGTGGCTTGCTGGCAATCTCAGCGGTTCCTTGGCTTGTAGAAGCATCACTGTGGTTCTGCCTTCATCGTTACGTGGTGTTCTGCCTGTGTACCTGTCCGGCCCAAATTCCACTTTGTAGAAGGACACCAGTCATGTCGGATTACGAGCACCCCCTGCTCCAGTGTGACCTCATATAAGCTTAACCACTCATATCTGCAGCCATCCTGCTTGTGGGCTGTGTCACACTCTAACTTGCAATGCGGAACTGGACTACTGGGGGTTAGGCGTCCTTCAATACATGAGCTGGGGTGTTGGGGGAGGGGCGGGTAGACACAGTTCAGCCCATAGCACCAGTTCTGTATGCACAGCTGCCTTCCATGCAGCCACACTGAAGGAAGCCCCAAGCTGCCACCTCACCTTTCAGCCTGTTAGTTCCAGAAAGGATGGCTGATGGCTCAGCTCACATAGGTTGAAGGACAGGTGGGAACAGGCTCAAACACAGAGGTGCTAGCAGCTTCCACAGCAAGCTGACATTTTCCAAGAGGAGAAGGGCCTAGATCTCCTTGAGGCTGTCTGACTGGACCAGCAGTGGCAGGTAGGGAGCTGGAATGGGGTTCCTTTCAGTAAAACTCCCCACTTTGTGTCCAGCCCTGGGGAGAAGGGGATGAAGCAAACCTCACCCCTGCCCATGGGGAAACCCCAGGAGCCAGATATGAGGGCTGTGGGCAGAGGTGTGGCCCAATGCTATGGCCGTGCTGACCTTTGCTTAATGAGGAGACTAAAGCTTCACAGAGGAGGTGATATGTGGCCTGGGCTTGTCATGTTACCAGTTTCAGCCAAGCAGGAGGACAGTAGGGCTTAAGGCAGGCCTGGGTTCAAGTGGTGGGTCTTCCACTTCCTGGTAGTGTGATTTGCGTAAGTCACTCAACCTTTCTTGGCTCAACGTCCTCCTCTGTAAAACGGGAATGACAGCAAATGCCTCAGAGGTTAAATTAGAAAATTCTTCTGAAGTGCTTAACACACAGCTTGGCATATGTAGTAAAAGTTAGCTATTCCTGTCAGCTGCTTTTTGTGAGGACTGAATGAGATGTTGTAGGTGAAGGGCCCACACAAACCAGGACCTCAGTTAACCTTTGACACTCCCCTCCTTTAAAAACAGCTTTGCTGATTGGCTGAGCTTCATGCATTTTCCAGCATTCATATTTTCCATCGGGGTGTGGGGTGAAGGGTGGAAAAGTATTTGAACTGCCTGAACATTAAAATCGTTTTCAGGTACTCATAAGCCATTTAATTCACCTATTTACTTGTAATTCATGCCATGCCAATACAACCCATTACAATTCATTAAATCACATGCAATCAGAACTTTTACCTTGCACAATTTAATAGAGAATTTGTCCAACTTGGTGCAGTATTCCACTACAGTAATTATGATCCTGACCATGAAAGATGCCCAGGCCACCACGTGAATGATAAGCTTTCATTTGCTGTGAAAGAGCAAATCCAAGAAGGGTCTTTCTAAGATTTTTCTCTTTCTGGTAGATCACAGAAATTCAGAGGATAAAAAAGAACTTCCTCTGCAATGTCGTACAGACGAGAACTAGAGAAATACCGCGACCTGGATGAAGATGAGATCCTCGGAGCCCTGACAGAGGAAGAGCTCAGGACCCTGGAAAACGAGCTGGATGAGCTGGACCCTGATGTGAGTGGCACTAAAGGGGAGCACGTTGTTGCAGGTGAAGGGACAGTGACCATTGCCACCTGGGGAGGGACAGGCCCAGGCTTCCTGCAGCCCACACTTCCTCTTTCCTTCCGTGGCAGTGCCACTGGAATGACATTGCCTTTGCAGGTGTGTGTGCATGTGCGTGTGTGCGTGTGGTGTCAGCATACTCTATAGAAACAGAACCACTAGGCTACATATGCATATAGTAAGAGATTTATTATACCTCTCACATGATTATGGAGGCTGACAAGTCCCAAGCTCTGCCATCTGCAAGCCAGAGTCCCAGGAGAGCTGTGTTGTAGTTTCAGGCCCAAGGCTGGCAGGCTCAAGACCCAGGAATTGTTGATGTTTCAGTTCGAGTCTTAAGGCAGGGAAAAGATAATTACCCAGCTCAAGGCAGTCAGGCAGGAGAAAATGCCCTCCTGCTCTGGCAAAGGTCAGCCTTTTTGCTCTATTCAGAACTTCAACTGATTGGATGGCATCCACCCACATTAGGGAAGGCAATCTGCTTTACTCAGTTTACCTATTCAGCTGTTAATCTCATCCAGCAACACCCTCACAGACATACCCAGAATATTGGTTAACCAAATGTCTGGGCACCCTGGGACCCCATCAAGTTGACACACACAAAAAGACATCACAAGTCCACTCCTTGTCAACTTGGCACCCATATGCATCTCCTTAAATCATACTTATCACCATATAAAGACAGTAACAAGGTCATAATTCTACCTAACATGATACAGGTGTCCCATGTACAACCTTGAGGTGAAGTCCTTGAGTGATGTTTGCTCTTCTATGTGGTATCCCATAAATTAAGTACTATGATGTAAATTAATAACATTGAATACTATGATGTAAAATCAATGCATCTTATGTCACAGAAGAGAATAAAAGAGGGAAGAACACAGAGATATTTGTTTAGCATACACACATGTACACAAGAAAATAAAGAGAAAAGGCTCACTGCAATGTAGTCCTTGTTTCTCTAACTGGTCGTATGGAGGTACTTTCTTCTACTACCCATTCTGTATTCCCTTTGCCTTTTAGCAAGCACTTAGCTGGTCGTGGTTCCTTGCTGTAACTCCAGTGAGAGGAAATCCTGGGGCAAAATACCTCTAAAAACCAAAATCAGTCAAAAGGAGAAATAAAGTGTAAAACCCATTTATTGCTTACAGACTGCAGACTGGGGCTGTCTCTGTTTCCTGCTGCAGCCAAGCCAAAACTAGCCCTTCTCCTCACCTCTCAGGTTCAGATAAGCCCTCAGTTGCCCAGGTAATTACCCATTGATATGAAGATGAAATATCCCCCCGTGAGGAATGCCCACTGATATGCAGATGCACTAAAGCCAGGCAAGATATTCTGGAAATGTTACAACTTTACCCACACTTGCTATAGTTAGATAAGCCAAACCTTCATTCCTAAAGAGTCTAGGCCATTAGTAGTCCTGTCTGGATTGGTTTGTGATGGATTTGTAGTTTTCCATTGACTTTAATCACAGGGCATGGTAATACTAAGAAAGCCCTAAGCAGTGTCCCAAATTGCTGACATATGCTTCCTCTGCTCTGTTGTGGGGCAGTGGTCCAGTTCCCCTCGATAGACAGGATCAGTCTCCCCAGCCAGGACAGAAAGCCCTTCTCTGCCTGTTGATTCAGAGGCATACGGAGCCCAAAGTGGCCAGGTGGCAGTCTTCCAGTCCAGAGGAATCATTGTTGTGTCTCCTGGTAGAAGCAGTCCTCCTTTGGGAGCTAAGGCCTGAAGGCCAGAAGAGCATAAGATCCCAGGAACAGGAAGCAAAACCTTTACCAGTGGGACATTAGGGCTAATAGTGAGTGGTGTCACTCCCCTTTCACCCTCGACTCCTGGGCCTGTAAATCCTGGCTGTGGGAGAAACAGCACCATGTGTGGGACACTGATTCAGAGCATGCACAGCCTTCTGGAGAACCTTGCCACAGCCCTGCAAGGTATTTCCTGCTAGTGGTATTGTAAGTGGGCCAGCTAAAAGCCTGTTGGACCATTCTATGTTATGGAATGCATTAGCTGAGCAATAAGGACTAGAAGAATCCCTTCCACTTCCTGGATGTTTCATCACTGCCCTTCATAGTTGACACATTTAAGAAGTTTGTTTAATGCTCAGAATTTGCCTCTTCAGTCAGAATCACAGCATCAAGAGGCAGCAGGCTCTTTAGTCATATCTCTGGTTGGCCAGCTACTGCGGAGCTGTGAGCAGAGCCAAGAGAGGGATTCCCAGGTGGCCTACTGGACAGGTGCCTTCATCCTATCTCTATATCCCAGGTGCTTGTCTCAGAGAAGGTAGATAATGAATGTTACTGAATTGAGCAAATTTTCCATGTGGTATATTTCCAACTAAAGGTGGGACATAGCACAGATTTTTCTTTAAACCTGTCATTGCTAAGCTGTAGTTCAACAGTGATCCATAAAGAAAAGCCTCCTACTACACCATTTCACTAACTCTCAAGTAATGACAGCTTGTGCAGAGGCGTGCAGGTTAGCAGAAAAATGCGGGACTGGAGCGTGGGTATGTCAGTTCCCGCTTGCCCTGTCTCTGACTCTCTGTGTGACCTTGGGCCATTCGCTTTCCTCCCCTAGGCCTCAGCAGTCCCATCTATGAAATAATGGAGTTGACAGTCCCTTCAGGACTAAGCTTCCATGAGCTTATAACCAGGTCTTCTCCCCAGAGTCAATTACACGTCTTGTCTCTAGATAACCCAGAATCAAGTCTAGGGGCTGAGTTCTAGTTCCCACCGAATGACAGATCCCTCCAGTGGTATGTCCTGTCTTGCTGTTTCCAACTTCCTCCAGCACAGTCCCGAGGAGCTGGGGCCCCTGAGGAGGCCCATTGAGTTGAAAGGCAGCATCCGTGGGAGAGCCTTGGGTCTCGTCCTCCTTCCCTGGTACCACCGCCCCCCCTTAGCCTGGGCTTCAGTAAAAAAGAGCGATGTGAGCATGGAGCAAGCAAGCTTCCAGCTTTACTGCTATAAAATTATCCTGTTCTAATTCTAGATCACTGTCACGCAGAATTACAAGAATGAACAGCTTTTAGAAGTGAGAACAAAAGGGGGACGTAGCTACTCCTAGTCAACTCAGTAAACATGGCCCAGCTACCTGCTGGGTGCCAGGCCCTGGGCTGGCCACTGACTGGGTAGCCTCACTGGGGTCCTGCCCTTCCGGTGTCAGCCCCCTGGGGAGCGGGAATAATAACTGCATCCTACGCAGGAGCAGGCAGGGTGCTCAGTGAGGGGAGGCTTCACAGAGCAGGTGACTTTGGACCTGGGCCTCAGGATTTTTCTAAGTCAAGAATAAAAACAAAGAATTCTAGCCCAAGTGAAGGCCAGGAGCAAAGGCTCACGTAGAGAAGGTAGCTGGGGTCAGGGAGTGTCCATGTTGTTTCTGGCAAGTTGGTTCAGCATGGAAGGAGGTCTAGGCCAGATAACAGGTGATGCGGTTACCCAGCTGGCTGAAGAGTTTGGCCTTTACTTGGCAGGCCCAGGGAGCCCTTTGGAGACAGTGACTCCATGGGCTGGCTGGTTTTGGGAGCTGAGGACAGATGGACAGGAGAAGGTGAGAGGTGGGAGGCTAGCTGGTGGGTAGGGAGTTCTTTTCTGAAATAAGAAAAGGCCCCTGTCCCCTCCACATCCCTTCTGCCAAATTGCAGAATCCTTGCTGTCCCTGGAGCAAAGAAGAGCAGACTGCCGGGGACCCCACAGGGCCTGCTGCCCCCTGGCCTTCCGGCTCTTGGAGTTGCTCTGCACTGCTTTATGGGGATGAAGTTAGATCAGGCTGTGGTGCAAATTGGGCAGGTGATGTGATGACAAGGGTCAGAGCCAAGCATGAGACCTGAGAGTTGGGGGAGGGCAGATTCAGGAGCGACTGCTTGAGCCCCAGCTGGGGGCTCTGTTTCACTTCAACAGAGGGCTCCCACAATGCCCTCACCCCACATACCAAGATATCTGGACTCATAGCAAATTCCCAAGGCCTCTGTACCGCTCATGCAGGCAGCTCCCCCCAGCCTCCTCCTGGAAGATCAGAAGGAAGGCCCGTGCGCACTGGAGGGATGGAGAACCCAGGGCTCAGACTGCTGACTAGCTTGCCCAGCATCACAGGACCAGGGCATGGAGACTCGGATCTCTACCAGGTCCAAGTGCCAAGCCTCCCACTCTGGCAAGGGGAAGGTCACTGTCCATTTGGATTTGGGAATGGGTTTGAGCAGTCTGAGACCTGTGATTCTCATACCATTGTAGTTTCAAAATGGACATTTTAGAGCCCCTTTCTCTCTTTTCAAGGAAAGAATACAGAAATCAGAGAGTGGAGAAGATAGAACAGAGGCCAATGGGTTTTTGTCCCTGCTGCACAATTGGCCCCTTTACTGAGATGTCTCTATTACCTGATTAGCAAGTCAGTATGTGAGTTTTGAAAAGATCTTGCAGGCCTCCTTTCTTTCTGAGAGCACAAACATTCCAGCTCACATTTCCCCCGCCCTTGGCCCGTGTTCTGAAATCCTAATGCAGGGAGAGGCCAAAGGTATGCAGACCAAGAGAGGCAACTTGGGAACCAGCTGGTTGGGAAGGGCCCAGGGACCAGAAGAGTCCAGCCTCTCACTGTCCATTGGGATTTGGGAAATCTGAGCAAGAAGTGAGCCCAGAGAGGAGAAGGAGCTTGCTTTAGGTCACACGTCTAAACAGAACCAGATCAGACCCCAAGTCCACTGCCCTCTCTGTTACACTCTACACTCCTGTCTTAATTTTTGTTCAACAAATGCTTATACGGCCCTTTGTATGTTCTAAGTACTTTGAAAATATTAATCCATTCAACCATCATCGTCACAATCCTATGATGCAGACATTGTTATCATCCCCATTTTACAGATGAGAAAACTGAGAGGTAAAGTGAATTGCCCATGGTCCCAGAACAGGCAGTGGCTGAGCCAGGATATGGTTCCAAGAGTTCACGGCTTAGCC